CCCCAAAACCCCAAAACCCCAAAACCCCAAAACCCCAAAAAGACAGATAATTATTGAACCATATTAGTGAGATTTTTTGCTAGAGCTGCTAGAATTTACAGGCTCGAGTTCTACTTCTCCGTCAGAATCAAGTAAGAACTCTCCTCTTGGCACTTTTCTCGGCTTCCAGTGAGTAATAATGCAAATATTGACTAATAACAGAAATCCTAAGAGCAATACTAGAACTGTAAGGTAAAATCCTTTTCCATAAACATTCTCTATATTAATAATTAACCAAGATTTACCTTTAAGCTTGAAGTTGACTGTTTGCATTGATGGGTTATAAATCCCGATAAAGGTGTCAACTATGGTTCCGTTTCAATTATCTTTATTTAAACACCCTTTGTTCTTGATGATAATTTCAGTTCCAGATTCTTTTACTTGGTAGATACTCTTAGTAGGTATATCTCCGTCTCTCTTGTATACCACAATTGGTTCTTCACTTCTGGCAAAGTATTCAAATCGATGATCTGCATGGATTTTGTAGTAAGTCCATAAATGGTTACTTTCAAACACTTGGGTACCTGGCACAACTGTTTTAACCTTGATAGAGCAGTCTGCACCATAATGGTCTTCTACACACTTAGTACATTGCCCGTTCTCACAGTCGCCTTTGTCGTTACAATCGTTCATGAATTGACACATCTCTTGTTTCACACTGCAATGCCCATCTTCTTCGTGACAATGAAGGCCTTTATACTTTATCAAATCCTGTAACACATTTTTACTAAGAGCGAGCTGGGTTGTAGGCACCAAATGTCCTGCAGAGTACACAGTTAGGAAATTAAAGTTCTTAAATTGCTTATAATTTCCACCAATTTTTGAGTCGTCATCATCGATGTAGTAGTAAATGTTCTGAGCAGAGCTCAGGAACTCATTCTTATACATCCATTTCATATTTTCGAGCAGACGATGTTGCTGGTAGGCTCCAAATTTGAGGTCCATGTTTCCGTAATAAACTATCATTGGAAGGTTATCTTCCCCATTATCTTGTATGAACTCTAATAGAGTATCATATAAATGAGTGTAGCTCTTCATTCCATCATAAGCATTAAAATGATGAAATACTGTCTTGTTCCAAGCATCAAATTTAGGATCTCTTGGGGATGTATCAGCATGTAACTGAGAAACAACAAGAGGGCGGTTGAGGTATTCAAGAATCTGGGTTTGGTCATGAGTCATGTTCTCATTAGGCCATCTTATGTCATAATTGTCCATATTTCCTCCCATCTCTCTGATAAACTCAGCTGTCTCGAATCAGAGATTATATGCTTCAGATGCATTGTGGCTTCCTTCCTCTCATCTCTTATTTAAGATATCAATTTCTGGATATGAATCTATTGGGATCAATCCAGCTGCAAGTCCTAACTTATGAGGAAGAAGTCTTTGCTCTTTCGGTTCCATGAATCCATTACCAATAGCGATTCCTTTTAATGGGATTGCATCAACGTTCTCAAGTTTATTGAACTCCAAAATTTCATGAGCAATATTTGGGATATATTTCCCTGCATAGCTTTCACCAGTGATGTAGAAATCTCTTCCTTCCATATCTGGATGGATCTCGTAGAACATTTGTAGAAATGTCAGGGTGTAATTTCTTACTTCCTCCTGGCTAGTATAAAGCTTGTTGCCATAGCTATATCCTGCTCCAACAGGTTGATCAAGATAAAGCATATTGGCTACAGAAGTCCAGGATACTCCAGTTAGGGAATGTACCTCAGTATCTCCAGTTGATGTTTCTATTAGTCTTAAAGGTCCATTCTCAAGGAACATTCCTAGCTGGCTGCTCGAGCCAGGGCCTCCATTCAACCATAAGACAAGAGGTGCACTAGAGTCAAAGGTTTCTTCTCTGATGAAAGTGTAAAATAGATTTATATCTTCTGAAGGATCTACGTTAATGAAACCTGAATAGAGGCATGGGAATTCATAAGTCTGGTTAAAAAGTTCAAGCTCTAGCACTAAGTCATCATTTTCCGGACATTCGTCAGCCATGACTAATCCTAAAATAAGACCTATGATGTTAAAAAGCAAGATTACAGGTAATAATGGTGGTCAACTTTCCTTTTCCCATGATACCAAAATTATTTTAACCAAAAAGGGGTTTTGGGGTTTTGGGGTTTTGGGGTTTTGGGG